CTTTACACTGTATGTTCACATGCGTGTAAAATATTTTAAAAGTGTCTCATTGTAGAAGGGTAAAAATACTATACATTTTCAAACAGCATAATGTGTTATGTCTTTAAATATATAATCTGCCAGTCCTTTTAAAGAGTTTATTATCCTGCGTTGACCATTTATAAAATCACAATATTAAAATAATTGATTTATTAATGTTAGTTTTTGTATACATTTAAGTATATTATTGAATATGTATTATTGTTAGCGTCCCTTTCACATTGCAGACATATAGGTGTACGGCATTTTTACAAAAAGGTATTAGGTTTAAATAAAGCTTTAACGGCCGAGTAAGAGTTTAGTGCCAGTATACAACAGTAACTTGCAGACAAACCAGTATTAGATAGAAATGCTATTATGAAATCATGAATACAATTTTAAATCCAGTTGTATAAAACAATTCATCCTAGTAAAAAACTATTACCTTAAAGCAATTTAGGAATGGGCTAAAACCTTAACAAATAAATGAGACCAATCGAAAACTATAACATAACAAATAAATCAGTATTTGAAAATACCCTCACTTCGTTAAATCAAAGTATAGATTTTGTCAGCTGAGCCTGTTTTTGTCTCATTGATATTGAAATGTGAGCAAGTGGGTCTCTATGTTTTGACCATGTGTTGCAATACAAAGTAAGGGGGGCTGTCCTTAAGCAACTCTTGAGCAAAGCATAGGACATAAACCATTGGTTGTCATCATAAACCATATAAGACAGACATGTTTTGCAAGTCCACATCCAATCCACTACCGCTTCACACTAAGATGGGACACTCTTTTTCCAACTTATTAGGACAGATCAAAACAAAGCAGAGAATCTTTTTAACAGTATGACCACTGATTAAATGGCAGCTTTTTAGGAATATATTCTGGTTTAAATGATAAGCTGTTACTCTAAATTCAGTTTAGTTTTTAGATTTCTTTGCTAAGTTAAAAGTCCAGTTTCGGAAATTCTGATGTGCTCTTGCACCTATTTGTAGGGCTGCTATAAATAGGCCCCTGCTGGCAACACATGCGTGTCTATGATAGGCAGTTACAGAGACTTTCTTCACAGACTCTGGCTCTAAAGCAACACTGACAACATCTCAGTGGTAAGTTGGAAGATTTACCAGGTTTTAAGAAGGCAGAGAAACACCTTAATTATATTCCTAACACGTACAAGTGTATAACTTGTCTAAGGTTTGTGCTTGACCACTAACAGCCTTTTCACAACCTGATAGCTGACCCTATTTATAACTTGCTCCAATGTAAGTACTTTGCTTGGTTAGAAAGAAAGAGCATTGAGTCTCTGCGTTTTATACAAGCAAATAACCCAGTGTATCTTATACTTTGTTTGATTGACTTACAGGTTTTGTTATCATTCTGAAGCATTTCTTTTTTCTTCCCCAGGGGCTTTTACATGGATAACACTATTAAATTTGAGCTTTGAACCTTGAACAAGCTTTGGACGTGACCACGGAGTAGTTTTATACTGTGGGTAATAAATTTATATCGGATTTTACATTTTTTGTGAATTGCTTCAGTGGACGATGACTTCCAGAAGGCCAATGACTCGCACTTATTCTGGCAATGGGAGGACAAGCAGCTTCAATGAGGAGGACAGCAGCTCTTCCAATGGCCGCTCAGAAAGCCGCAATACTTACCTCTCGAATGTTAGGCCTGAAAACAGGTAAACAACCTTATCTATAATCTATGTATATGCAAATCATGTAAGTCTTTGTTTCTTTTGAAGCAGATTTGAAAAAAACAGGTTTACATTGCATGGTGGTCAAGAAAGGGCATCTGGGTCAGGCAGATTAAGTAACAATCACAAAACATGACCAGAAATGTCTCTTTATACCTACATTAATTTACCTGGAAAGAGTAAATGATACACATCAGTGGATCACATTGTGGGTCACAAATCACATTTATCGATCGTGATAATCGGGTTTCTGTTCCTGATCATCAAAAAACAAGAATAAGAATGTGCTCCTTTTATCAAAGAGGGGGGCAGTTATTAGACTATTTTATGTAGGTGGGTTCCGTATACGCAGATCTTAATTAATCATTGACGTCCCTTCATTTGCCTCCTCTCTGAATAGCTATTCAAGGTATTCTCACTACAGGCCAACGAGGTAATCCATACTTTTAAAACATTCCTCCCAACTAACATCTTAACCACAAAACTGGTTTACCCTAAATTAAACCTACCAACGTTTGAACTGAAATGTAAGTGTCCAGTTTGTCTCGTGTTCAGTTCAGTTTTAGTGATGAACATCGGTTTTAGTGTTGGATTGACACCTTTGTTTTGCTTGACATCTCACAATCCCCCAGTTATCTCCTCTTCCACACTACCAGAAATTTCCATTAACAACCTTGTCCTCTTAATTGAGCAAGTAAATTTGAATGTACTGCACAGAGGTGAAGAGGTCACTGAAATGATACTCAAGTGTTAAAACTGTTTACTATTTGAAAGCAAGAAATTGACTCTCTAATGCAATAGCGTTTGCTTCCAGGAGCACGTTGTGCAGCGTCATGGCTCAGCTGACCGAGGACATACAGCCTTGCTTTGAGACCACCTTGAAATCAAAGGCAGTGTCAGAAAACTGTAATGTGAAGTTCACCTGTGTGGTATCAGGTAGGTCTGCACTTAATAGCCTTTTTCATTTGTATGTCTTGCTTGTTCTTTTTTAGAGTAAATGAAACTGTTTAGATTGTTGTGGTGTAAAGAGACAGGATGTGACTAATCTGAAAACAAGATTTTACTTGGAAGGCATCAGAATGAACTGCTCCATAAAAACGCATCAGGCCGGATAATATTCAAACTGTTTTTTCCAGGATGTTGTGTTATAGACTGCAGGCAGATTGGATGGGTGGGCCCATCCAACAGCAGTAGCTGTTCCTGTGGGACACATCCTAAAAATGATGCAACAGCCTAAAACACATGCCAATGCTTTTAAACAGTAATAAAAAGGGTATTTAGTGCAAACTGTCTCTTAGGACATGTTCCCAGTGTAACAAATGTTCATAGTGCTTTCATAGTGCTTTGTGGCAAAGTGTTTCGGAGTGGATTGTTTATAACCCAGAGGCAATCAGTTCATTAAAGTCTATCTATGTTTTCAGGTTACCCAGCTCCAGAACTGAAATGGTATAAAGATGATATGGAAATGGACCGATACTGCGGACTCCCAAAATATGAAATTCGTCGTAATGGAAAAACCCATACCCTCCATATTTACAAGTATGTTATACAACTTTGTTAGAATAATATAAATGATTAGAAATGTATATTTGTTTGTTTGATTTATTTGTTGTTGTTGTCGTAAATGTCATAACGCTGCTAGAGTACCTACAATGTGAGAAATGACTATGTGTAATAAGTGTTTTTGTTTTCAGCTGCACATTGGATGATGCAGCCATCTATCAGGTTTCAGCCAGCAATAGCAAAGGTATTGTCTCCTGCTCGGGAGTTTTGGAAGTTGGCACTATGAATGAGTACAAGATTCACCAGAGGTTCTTTGCCAAGCTGAAGCAGAAAGCAGAGAAGAAGAAGAACGATTTGGAGATCCAGTCCAAGAAGGAGGATAAAGAAAACATGCAGAAAGAGAAACCGCAGAGAAGCCCAGAACGTCCACAGAGAAAGCGGCATGTCCCACCACCAGAGGAGAGCCCAGTGGTCAAGGAGCCTGAGGCTGTGGAACAACTGGGAGCCTCTGCAGAGCCTAATGGAGTTAGTTCTGAAGACAAGGAAACAATCAAAGGCTGTGACCTTTCTCCATCCGAGAAAACCTTGGCCAAAAAGAAAATAAAGATCTCAAATGGAGTAGATGCGGGTGTTAACAGCAGTAGCAGTAGCACCAGCAGCAACAGCAGAAGTCATGTGATGGGGAATGGAGGTGAAAATTGTTATGATGGCGGAATCAGTTTGGCACAATTTCTGGCAGAGACTCTCCAGTCCCAGGCTGCTGAGGAGAAACTCAACTCACCTAGAGGGGAGAAACATAAAGAGATGGATATTCCTATTGTAAATGCCAGTAAAGAGAAAGAGCAAGAGCAAGAGAGGATACGAAAAGAGAGAGAAGAAAAAGAAAAAGCACTAGAGGAAGAGTATGAGAGAGAGAAAAGGAGAGGAAATGAATTGGCCACAGAGAGAGAGAAGGGAAGGGAAAGGTTGTTGGTGATGTCGCACACAGTACCTACCACAAAACATGGTTCAGAAGTCAAACATCACAGCAAGGATCATAAGGATCACGACCACCACCACATCCAGGCTTCCATCTCCTCTATGCTCCACACAGTCAAAGACTTCTTCTTTGGTAAGAGTAAGAAGGATTCTCATGATCACGTTGAGGAGAGAGAGTTTGACCACTCGCATGCCTCAACGCTGCCTCCACAACCGCAAACACCACCATCATTCCGGCTGCAATCAGAGCATAAACAAGAGTGCAAGCCCCTCATAGAAGATGTTGTGCCTATGGAAATGGATA